CCTAGGATGGCAGGACCTCCCAATCTCTCCCCCACACACCCCCCTGCAGACCTTAGCTGTTCAGCTTCCGCAGACACAGGAGTGTCAGTCTGCTGCCATCCCAGGCAGACTCTTCACGCCACACACACTGTTCCCCTTCCTGACACCTCTGAAGGCACTTGGGAGAGGCCGGCGACAGCAGGTGGAGGGCTTGGGGGGGGGTGCTACTCCCAGGGGGCTGGGTGGCAGTCCTGCTGTCTTCAGCCTCAGTGTTCATTCCTGCCTCCCCTTGTCAGGAGGGTGAGTTCAGCTGGTGAGGGCCGGCACTAGCTGTTCTGCCGCCAACTGCCATCCTCTGCCCTCCAGGGCCAGGCAGCCTGGAGTCAGCCAGAGAGCAAGTGCTTTGGGGATGGCTCGGGACAGTTCCTGGCCAAGGTGAGTTTCACCGATTAGACACGAGAAAGTGGTCTGATGGAACTCAGCGACCTGTTTGTTTGTTTATTTATTTATTTTGAGTCAGAGTCTTACTCTGTTGCCCAGGCTGGAGTGCAATGGCACGCTCATGGCCACCACAGCCTCAACCTGCTGGGCTCAGACAACCCTTCCGCCTCAGCCGTCCAAGTAGCTGGAACTATAGGCATGCACTACCACGCCCGGCTAATTTTTGATTTATTGTAGAGATGAGGTCTCGCTAAGTTGCCCAGGCTGGTCTTGAACCCCTGAGCTCAGGCAATCCTCTCGCCTCGGCCTCCCAAAGTGCTGGGATTACAGACTTGAGCCACCACACCCGGCCTTTTAACTTAATTTAATTTTCTTTTTAGAGATAAGGTCTTTCTCTGTCACCCAAGCTGGAGTGCAGTGGCATGATCATTCTCACTACAGCCTCGAACTCCTGGACTCAAGGGGTCCTCCCACCTAAGCCTCCAGAATAGCTGGGTTAGGCGCACACCACTACAACTGGCTACTGTTTTTTAAATTTTTGCTCTAGCCCATCTGCATCTTGCTATGTTTCTCAGGCTGGTCTTGAACTCCTGGGCTCAGGCGGTCCTTCCGGCCTCCCAAAGTGCTTTATTATAGGCTCACTACGCCTGGCTCAAAGCTCAGAATCATCTGAGTGAGCCACATTTTCAGACTGCTGCCAGGACGGGCTCACGTGCAATGCTGGAGTTTGCAGAAAGGCTGACAGCTGGGACTCTGTCTCCACCTTCACCCATAGCATTCTGGTGTTTAATCTGATATGTTGAGGTTCCGAGTAAGGTTTTATTTTTTTAAAGTTTCTCTTGCTTAAAAAAGGGGGTTTGAAAAACCTCTGACCTTTTCCCCATATAAACAGTGACTTGGTGAAAAGGACTTGCCCAAAGTTACTTGGAATTAGTGGCCACCCTGAGACTCTTAACCCCAGGCCGGGGCTGTCTGCTGCACTGGTTCTTGTTTGGACTCTGAGCTGCTTTCGGTGGGAGGGTGTTAGAGAACTGCCTTTCTCTGACTCTTGGCCAGCCGCCCCCACCCCTGCCTCTGAGCCCCCACACTTGGCTCCTGCACCCCGGCATCCTTGGCTCTCCCAGGCTCCGTGACACCTCTCCTCTAGCCCCATCTGCGTCTCCCTCTTCAACAGGATGTCTGGGCGTGTGAGTGTCAGTGCGGTTGCCACTCCAAGTGCGTCTCACACCCAAGCTGCTGCCACCCAAGGCCTGTCCCCAGGGAGGGAGGGAGAACGCCAGGGGAAAAGCCAGACAGACATAGGAGCAGACTGGAGTTGGGGAGCCCCAGCCCCCAGAAGTGCAGCAGGGAAGAGGGAGGGGACAGATAAGAGGAGGGGAGAGAGAAGCGTGGAGAGAGGGGAGAGAGACTGGTGGGGTGGAGAGGGGGACTCAGAAACGGGAGGGAGATGGAGGAAGACCCAGATGGGGAGGACCCAGACAGACATGGATGATGAGACGCTCTGTGAGCTGTGGGGAAACAGGAACCCGATGCGTTGCTGGTGGGAATGCAAACCGCAAAGGGAGCTTGGCAGCGCCTCCCAGACCGCACATGCGACTTGACCCAGCAGCGCCACTTCTAGGACTCTGCCCTGAAGACGCACTTCCAACAGCGTGAGGCTGGATATGCACAGGCTCATTCATGGCAGCATTTCTGGACATTACAAACCTAAATGCTCATTCCTAGGAGATTGAATAAACTAGGGTTTGTCTATCAACTGGAGCTAAGCAGCTCTGTCAAAAAAAGAGGAAGATCAATGTAAGATGGCAATTCCTAGGATACACAGTTAAGTGGAAAAACAACATGCACGAGAGCACCTCCAGTAAGATATTCTGACTGGGCACTGTGGCTCACACCTATAGTCCCAGCACTTTGGGAGGCCGAGGTGAGAGCCCAAGTCCAGGGGTTTGAGACCAGCCTGGGCAACTTGGTGAGACCTCATCTCTGCAATAAATCAGGAAAAATTAGCTGGGCATCGTGGCACGTGCCTGTAGTTCCAGCTACTTGGAAGGTTGAGGTGAAAGAATCTCCTGATCCCAGCAGGTCAAGGCTGCGGTGACTGTGAGCAGCGTGCTCACACTCTAGCCTGGGTGACAGAGCCAGACTCTGACTCAAAAAAAAAAAGATAGCCGGGCTCGGTGGCTCAGCCTGTAATCCCGTGCCTTTGGGAGGCTGAGGTGAGTGGATTGCCTGAGCCCGTGGGTTTGAGACCCGCCTGGGCAACTTGGCGAGACCTCATCTCTACAATAAATCAAAAATCAGCCGGGCGTGGTGGCACGCGCTTGTAGTTCCAGCTACTTGGAAGGCTGAGGCGGAAGGATCGCCGGAGCCCAGTAGGTCGAGGCTGCAGTGGCCGGAAGTGGCCATTGCACTCCAGTCTGGGCGACAGAGTGAAACTCCAACTCAAAAAAAAAAAAAAAGACGGAAAATTACTCTGTGAAAGAGACAGTAGAGAGAGATGGAGAGAGCAGGGAAAAGAGACAGGTCTGGCAGGACACATGAGGGCCGTTAGAGACAGGGAAATGTTACCTGCCCTGGAGCTGCAGCCGTCACCATGAGTCTGGCGCAGGTCCGGCTGATGGATGTTGGGGAGTCTCGTTGCCGGCGGCTTTTCACGTCCCCTCAGTGCTGTGGAGATGGATGTGTCAGGGGACACAGTGTGGTGCTGGGGTGGCCTTGGCCCAGTGCCTCTGCCTCCTCTGCCCCAGCCTCTGCTGGGACAGTCAGCTCCTGCTCATGGGGCTTGAACAGAGGCCGAGGAACAGATGAGCTGGCTTGCTCAGAACCCCCTGGGCCTGTTTTTACCTGGCAGCCTGGGGGGGCCCTAGAAGGTAGTAGACATAGCAGAGGTGTAGGGGACAGCAAGTCAGGAGGGGAGAGTGGTTGATCTTGCCCTCCCAGGATCAGGGACAAACACCTTGGGCCAGCCCCCAAGCCTGCTTCCCGGTGCTGGGTGCGGAGCCTCTGGGAGGCTCTTGGTCGAGGCCCAGACGCTTAAGCCACCAAGCTACTGTGTTGTCTCATGTCTGCTTCAGCTTCTGCCTGGCTCTCAGCAGAAACCTCCCTTCTTGTCCAGGAATCAGAGCCTCTTAGAGCCCAGCTTGTTGGTGGGGCAGAGACCTTAGGCCTAGGGACTGCGTGGCAGGGAGGGGGTGCACCAGGGTTCCTTTTGTCTTTAGGGTTCATGAGAACTCCATGGAGGCACAGGATGTTAGGGACTGGGTGAGTCCTTCACTCTCTGAGCCTTGGTTGTCTGATCTGTAAAATGGAAGGCACCATCCCTGCCCTGTGGGCGTAGAGCACCGGGCCAGCCTGGGGCTGGTTCCTGCTTTCCATTTACTCAGTGATCAATTACATATAAAGCACCTGTCATATGCCAGGCATTGTGCTGGCCACTAGGGAGAGAGCATGGCCAAGTCAGATAAAGAAAGCCCTGCAGATTTGGAGTTTACATTCATGTCAGGGAAAGGGTAAACAGTGACCTAAACCATAGACAGTTCACTGAGGAAAGTAATGCAGCCTGATGTACTAATCACACTGCGAGTGGGGGCAGGAGGGTGGGAGGCCCTCTGAGGACAGGACTTTTGAGCTGCCAGTTGAAAGGACTGGGGAGAGCATTCCAGGCATCAGGAGAGCCAGGTCCAAGGCCCCAAGGCAGAACAGGGCAGCCGTGGTGGTGGCAGTGAGTTGGGCATGTCTTCTAAGAAGGGCTGGGCTGAGGCCTCCCTGCAGGCCTGGAGTGAGAGGGCCTGGAGTGAGAGGGCCTGGTGAGGAGGGCCGGTGAGCCTGAGAATCGTGGGAGCTCTGGGGGGTTGGGGAGGAATGGCGGGGTCTGACTGGTGCTTCGGAAAGCTCTCTGCTCCGGCTGTTGTGGGGAGCACTGGTGAGAGAGGCAACCTGCAAGCCCACCCACCAGGAGTAGATTGCAGTTGCCCAGGCAGAGGTGATGGTGGTTGGACCCAGGTGGGTGCTGGTCTAGCTGAGAGGGACTGAGATGTCCTGGCTCCTCAGCCACCCCAAACACACAGATACTGCTCTAGGAAGGCCCTACCAGTTGCCATGGATTAAGGGGGTGGGAGGGGTGGGGCAGCTGCTGGGAGGGAATGTGGCTTTGTGCTTGGAAAACAAAGAACAGAGCCTGGGGCCCTCTTCTCCTGGGGGTGAGGGAAGGCCAAGAGGCTGTTGACAGGACCTGAGGCTGGAGTTCAGGGCTGGGCTTGGCAGAAGCACGCTGTGCCCCAGGCCTCTGGGTGAGGGTAGGTGTCCCAGGGAGGGACCTCAGAGCCTTTGAGGGTGACCCCCGGAGCTGCTGGGCTTTGGGACTGGGAGGGGCTTGGAGGTGGACAGAGAGTGGAAGGATGCCAGGCCTCTGGCTTGGAGAGCCAGGGGGCAGAGACAGTTTAGGCAGACAGTGCCCTGGGCCATGGGCATGAGGGGGACGGGGGATGTGTCTGGGAGGAATTGGGGGTCCCAGAGGCTGTGTGTGAAGGTGCAGAAGGAGGTCGACCGGGACCCTGACCAGCCGTTCTGCCTCTCCCCAGCCCTGCCGCTAAGGCCGCCCTCCCCGCCCGCCCTGAGGTGGGGGCCCACCAGGATGAGCAAGCTGTCCCGGGAGGTGGCCGGAGACCTGGAACGCAGCCTGCCAGCTGTGGCCTCCCTGGGCTCGTCGGTGTCCCACAGCCAGAGCCTCTCGTCACACGTCCTCCCTCCGGCTCCGGAGAAGCGCCGGGCCATCTCTGACGTCCGCCGCACCTTCTGTCTCTTTGTCACCTTCGACCTGCTCTTCATATCGCTGCTCTGGATCATCGAGCTGAATGTGAGTGGGGGCGAGGCTGGGAGCACAAGCCACGCTGGGGGCCACGGGCCTCAGTTAGTACGTCTGCCACATGGGAGGTTGCCTCTACCATGGACTGGATGAAGAATGGGAAGATAGCCGGGCTCGGGGGCTCAGCCTGTAATCCCGCGCCTTTGGGAGGCTGAGGTGAGTGGATTGTCTGAACCCGCGGGTTCGAGACCCGCCTGGGCAGCGAGACCTCATCTCTACAATAAATCAAAAAATCAGCTGGGCGTGTAGCACATGCCAGTAATTCCGGCTTCTCGGAAGGCTGAGGTGGAAGGATCGCCGGAGCCCAGCAGGCGAGGCTGCGGTGGCCGGGAGCAGCCGCTGCACTCCAGTCTGGGCAACCGAGTGACACTCCAACTCAAAAATTAAAAAAAAAAAAGAATGGGAAGATAAGCGGTTTTCATCTTCTGGATGAAGAAACCAGGCTCACAGGGGTGGAGTCCTTTGGCCAAGGTCTCTCAGCAAGAGTGGGGGCTGGGGGATTCTGGCCCCAGGGGTCGCACTCTGGGCCTCTGTGCCACACTGCCCCCTAGTGGAGGGCCCGAGAGAGGCGGAGACAGGAGACTAGCCCCAGTGGAGCTGTTGAAACCTTTGTCTTCCTTCTGCTCTCTGTTACTCTCTAGCTCCAGTTCGGTCATTCGTTCGTTCATCCATTCATTCAGAAAATGTTTTTTTGAGCCCCTGCTGTGTCCTAGGCACTGTGCTAAAAGCAGAGAATCCAGTAAAAACTCCTAGTTCCCAGTGGCTCTGTGGCTGCCGCCAGGGGCAGGGCTGAAACCCCTCAACAGTGGTTGGTCCACCCTCAGCAAAGCAGTCTAGCTGGTGGCAGCCTGCTCTGGTCTCCAGGTGCTGACCCCACAGAGGCAGGAGCCCTGGAAGCAGGACATCCCAGGCTCTGTCCCGTCCCAACTCCTCCTCTGCACTGACCGTCTGACCTCAGCAAGGGCCCCTGCCCCTCTGGACCACCCCTCATTTCCCTTCTGCAGCCTGGCCTGCAGAGTTCCGGATGGCAGGGGCCCTCCTTCCAGATTTTAAGCTTGGGTGACCGAAAAACGATGTGTTTCTTGAAAAAAGTGTGTTTGGGGAAGGGGCTGGTTTGGGGCAAAGAGGGTAGGTTTGACTCTAGGCTCGTTGAGCTGGAGGAGAGACAGGACTCCGGGGTGATTGTCCTTTGTGCACTGGAGAGGAGCCAGCACCTTCAGTGAGATGGGGCCTGCAGCCCCCCGGGGCCTTAGGGACCATCTCACCAATGAAAACGCTGAGGCCCCGCCAGGCTCAGGTCCTCGGGCAGAGCTCCCAAGCTCTTAGGCATGCTTCCCTTGGAAGGTCCCATCCAGCAACTCCAATTTACCTACATCCTGTATTTAGTATGTATTTCCTTACCAGAGAAGAGCTGAAAACATTCTGATAATTTTCCTTTTTTTTTTTAATTGGAGTCTCACTCTGTCACCCAGGCTGGAGTGCTGTGGCATGCTCCCTGCCACCGCAGCCTCTACTTGCTGGGCTCAGGTGACCCTTCTGCCTCAGCCATCCAAGTAGCTGGAACTACAGGAACTACAGGCACGTGCCACCATGCCTGGCTAATTTTATAGGTGTGAGCCACCATGTCTGGCTGATAATTTTCCTTTTGAAGTTATTTGGCTGTATCAGCTCTGATTGCTCTGTAGTCATCGTACATGCCTGGGAATTCTTGCAAAGTGGGAAAATCTAACTTAAAAATTGTTTTAAAGAGGCCAAGCATGGTGGCTCATGCCTGTAATCCCAGCACTTTGGGAGGCTGAAGTAAGAGGATTGCCTGAGTCCAGAGGTTCAAGACCAGCCTGGGCAACTTGGTGAGACCTCATCTCTACAATAAATCAAAAAAGTTAGCTGGGCGTGGTGGTGTGCACCTGTAGTTCCAACTACTTGGAAGGCTGAGATGGAAGGATTGTCTGAACCCAGTAGGTCAAGGCTGTGGTGGCTCTGAGCATGCCACTGCACTCCAGCCTGGGTGACAGAGTGAGACTTCTGCTCAAAAAAAAAAAAAAATAGAATTGTGTGGGTCCAGGGGTTCAAGACCAGCCTGGGCAACTTGGTGAGACCTTGTCTCTACAGTAAATCAAAAAATTAGCTGGACATAGTGGTGCGTGCCTGTAGTTCCAGCTACTAGAAGGCTGAGGCAGAAGGATCACCTGAGCCCAGCAGGTCATGACTGTGATGGCTGTGAACATGGCACTGCACTCCATCCTGGGCGATAGAGTGAGACTCCATCTTAAAAACAACTACAGAAAAAATTGTTTTAAAGGTAATGAAAAATTTTAGAATACTGGATTTAACAATTAGTAGAGTCAGCACATCTCCCTTGGTGGACATTTAAATGAAAATGAAAATTTTATTCATTTTCAGTCTTGTTTTATTTTTGTATTTGGGAGTGTATATTAGTTATTTATCTATTTTTAGAGACAAAAATAGAAATAGGGTCTCACTCTGTCACCCAGGCTAGAGTGCAGTGGTGTAATCATAGCCCAATGCAGCCTCGAACTCCTGTTCTCAAGCGATCTTTCTGCCTTAGCCTCCCAAGTAACTGGGACTATATGGACATGCACCTCAACATTTGGCTGATTTAAAAATTTTTTGTAGATACAGGGTCTCACTATGTTGCCCAGGCTGGTCTCAAACCCCTGGCGTCAAGCGATTCTCCTGCTTGGGTCTCCCCGAGTGCTTGCTGGGATTACAGGCATGAGCCACTGCCCCTAGCTTGAGAGTATATATATTTTTAGTTCCCTGATAGATTGTGTCTGTGCTGCTTGGGGGATACAGGGGCCCCAGTAGGGCGGTGACCAGCATGAGGTCTTGCAGCCAGAGACTGGCAAAGCAGGGACTGAAACTCAGCCCTCCTGAGTCCTGATCCAGTCAGCACTGAGGGAAGGGCTGGGTGGGGTGGGTTTCAGACTAGGGGTCCTCACCAGCAGGCCAGAGGGGATGTGGCTTTGGATTTCTTGGGGCTTGGGGTGGTTTTGAGGTAGAGAAACATGATAGAGATGTGTAAGGGAGTTTGAGGATCAGTGGGGGACTATCTAGACTGCTGGCTCCCTCTCTGAGCATTAGAATCACCTGAGGAGCTTGGTGCTCCAGCCTGTAAGCCCAATACTTTGGGAGGCAGAGGCAAGAAGGTTCGAGATGAGCCTGGGCAACTTGGCAAGACCTCATCTCTACAATAAAAAAAAAAAGTTAGCCAGCTGGGCTCAGTGGCTCAGCCTGTAATCTCAGTGCTTTGGGAGGTTGAGGTGAGTGGATTGCCTGAGCCCACGGGTTCGAGACCTGCCTGGGTAACTTGGCGAGACCTCATCTCTATAATAAATAAAAAAAAATAGCCGGACGTGGTAGTGCACGCCTGTAGCTCCGGCTACTTGGAAGGCTGAGGCGGAAAGATCACCGGAGCCCAGCAGGTCGAGGCTGCGGTGGCCTGGAGCGGCCACTGCACTCCAGTCTGGGTGACAGAGTGAGACTCCAACTCAAAAAAAAAAAATAAAGTTAACCGGGTGTGGTGGCTCATGCCTGTAGTTCTAGCTACTTGGAAGGCTGAGGCAAAAGGATCACCTGAGTCCAGCAGGTCAAGGCTGCAGTGGCTGTGAGTGTGCTACTGCTCTCCAGCCTGGGTGATAGAGTGAGACTCCAACTCAAAAAAAAAAAAAATCACCTGGGAGCTTTAAAAGATTCCAGATGGTCAGAATCTTACCCCGAGATTCAGACTCAGTGACCTGAGCATCTGTATTTTTTTTCTTTTCTTTTCTTTTTCTTTTTTTTTTTTTTGAGGACTCAGACTGCAGTCTGGATCTCGGTGTCTATCCAGACCCCCTCATCCCCCCAACCCCCACACATTGGTGTTCAGGCCTATGTGCAGGTCTCAGGTCCTGGTGAAAATGTGGGGTAGGGAGAGGGGCAAGGACATGTCCACTCACTCTCCTCACCATCCTCTCCAGCGGCGTGATGGATTTTGCCCATTAAATACAAACCTAATCAATTGATTGCTACCTGAGGCTCCGTCTGACCCTGCTGCCCACCCGGCCCCCATCACCCAGATGGATTGTTGGCTGAAAAGGTGGAGCACCAGGATGCTGGAAGGGAGATAGGATTATGTGAGAGGCAGGCTCCCAGCACCCTGCCTGCTGCCCTCATGGGGCCCACTACCTTCCCTGCACAGTCCCTGGGCCTTGAGCCCAGTCCTGCAGGTTGGGCTGCCTGGATCCTTAGAGGAATGGTGTTGGGGCCTGGGGTCTCAGGCCCCTGGCTGAGCTTCCTTGGTGCTTTAGGGGCCCCTGCGGGTGGTAGCTTAGCACTTAAAGCCACTCCTCTAGCCTCCTGCCCATTCCGGGGGTTGAGGGGCTGTCCTAGGGCCTGGCTTCTCCCACAGAGCACTTCCATCTCCCCATTCTAGACCAACACAGGCATCCGGAAGAACTTGGAGCAGGAGATCATCTACTACAACTTTAAAACTTCCTTCTTTGACATCTTTGTGAGTAACTTTGGGATTTCCTGGGGACCCAGAGGGCAGAGGGGGAGCCAATAAGTGACTTTGGCTGTCTTTTTGTTTTTTCCTTTTTGAGTCAGGGTCTCACTCTGTCCCCATGCTGGAGTGCAGTGACATGCTCACGGCTCACTGCAGCCTCAACTTCCTGGGCTCATGCAGTCCTTCTGCCTCAGCCTCCTGAGTAACTTGGGACTACAGGCACATGCTACCATGCCCAGCTAATTTTTTGACTTTTTCTTTTTAATAGAGGTGAGTTCTCATTATGTTGCCCAGGCTGTCTTAAACTCCTGGGCTCGAGTGATCTTCCTGCCTCGACCTCCCAAAGTGCTAGGATTTCAGGCATGAGCCATGGCATCTGGCTCGGATTCTCTTCTTTCTGCAACACATATCCACATATCCAGCCTGATCAGGGAGACTCAGCCCCCTTCCTCAGGGTGCTTCAGTCTTCAAAAAACTTTCTCAGCAAGGGCTACGCCTTCAGAGAGCCCCAGGTGGCCGGGGAAGATGAGACCCCTGTCCAAGGAGGTCATGGCCACATGGCCCCAAGGAAGCACATGCCCACATGGAGGGAAAGGGAGCAGGACCCGAGGGAGGTCAGCCCACTGCAGGGATGGGGCTGCTGCCTCCTGTGATGGCTTGGTTCTCACCCCTGCCAGGTCCTGGCCTTTTTCCGCTTCTCTGGACTGCTCCTGGGCTACGCTGTGCTGCGGCTCCAGCACTGGTGGGTGATTGCGGTAAGATGCCACTTGCCCAGCAGCTTGTGTGCCCCGGCGGGACTGGTTCAAGGGGTGGGGCAGAGGAGGACTCCCTCCCCAGCCTCTGCCTCCCCTCTCGTCCTCCTTCCTCCCCTGGGCAGGTCACTACACTGGTGTCCAGTGCGTTCCTCATTGTCAAGGTCATCCTCTCTGAGGTCAGTGGCTTGGGGGATCTGGTTGACTTGATGGGCATCTGGCCTGAGAGATACACTTCTCCTGAGAACCATCTCTCTGATCTCGGGTGTCTATTCCTGTTGTCGGGGCTGGGATGAGGGGGAATCCTGCCCTTTGATATCTTCAAGCAATCATCTTCACTGGCTTTCCCTGCTTACCCCTCTGCAACCCCAAGAATCAGGAAGTTCTCCCTCCAGCCTAACCTCAGTGTATCCTGCTGCAGACTTACTTAATCCTTCTCAGGCGGGCACAGTGGCTCACACCTGTAATCCCAGCACTTTGGGAGGCAGAGGCAAGAGGATTACCTGAGCTCAGGGGTTTGAGACCAGCCTGAGCAACATGGCAAGACCTCGTCACTACAATAAATCAAAAAACAAGCCAGGCATGCCTGTGGTTCCAGCTACTTGAAAGGCTGAGGTGGAAGGAACACCTGAGCCCAGCAGGTCGAGGCTGCAGTGGCCGTGAGCGTGCAACTGCACTCTAGCCTGGGCGACAGAGTGAGATTCCAACTCAGAAAAATAATAATAATCAATCAGAGCCGGGCTCGGTGGCTCAGCCTGTAATCCCGCACCTTTGGGAGGCTGAGGTGAGTGGATTGCCTGAGCCCGCGGGTTCGAGACCCGCCTGGGCAGTGAGACCTCATCTCTACAATAAGTTAAAAAATCAGCCGGGCGTGATAGTGCATGCCTGTAATTCCGGCTACTCGGAAGGCTGAGGCGGAAGGATTGCCGGAGCCCAGCAGACGAGGCTGCGGTGGCCGGCAGCGGCCGCTGCACTCCAGTCTGGGCGACAGAGTGAGACTCCAACTCAAAAATAATAATAATAATAATAATAATAAATCAATCAGTCAGTCGATCAGTCATTCTCAGAGGCATGTGCCACAGAGAGTCCGCAAGCTGGTGGTACTGGAATGGGGTGTCTGCCAGCCAGAGCTGGTGGCCCCAGGAGGGGAGAGCTCTGGGTCTGGGGCGATGCCCTGCCGTGACGCACATCCTCCTCCATCCACAGCTGCTCAGCAAAGGGGCCTTCGGATACCTGCTCCCCATTGTCTCCTTTGTCCTGGCTTGGCTAGAGACCTGGTTCCTTGACTTCAAAGTCCTCCCCCAGGAGGTGGAAGAGAAGCGATGTGAGTGCGGGGCAGGGGTGGGGGGACGGGGGAGAGGGAGGCTGGGTGGGGGTGCAGCCCCACAGGAGGTGAGTTGAGGCATGAGGGTCAGCTTTGAACCATCTTGCCCCCTCTGAGCAGCCTTCAAGAGCCTAAGGATGAGACTTGGGCAGGGGTGTCACAGACTGCTGGGACATGACTGTCTTCGGTCTGGGACAACAGCTGCCTGTGTCCACTCCTCCAGGGTATCTGGCCGCCCAGGCTGCTGTCGCCCGTGGACCCCTGCTCTTCTCCGGTGCTCTGTCTGAGGGCCAGTTCTATTCACCCCCAGAATCCTTTGCAGGTGAGGGCGGTGTGTGGGGGAACAGCCTTCAAGGAGGGCCCTGGGAGGAGCAGGGTAGGCTGGGTCTGTTCTTTCTGTTCGTTCTATCAGGCTCCCTGGGGAAAGCCAGCAACCCTCTCCCACACACTTCTATCCCCCACATCCCTGCGCTCACATACCCGAACCCCACTACCCCCCACCGCCGCCGCCGCCATCCTCCCCCCTCCCCTCGTGCCATTGTCATCTGTACTTGTTTTCTGTAGGGTCTGATGATGAATCAGATGAAGAAGTTGCCGGGAAGAGAAGTTTCTCTGCCCAGGTATTTGGCTGCCTGTCCTCACCCTGCCCTGGATACGGGCCCAGAGGACAGCCAGCATGGGCTCGGCCGAGGCAGGCAGGGGCTTCCCAGCAGAGGCTAGACCTGGAGCAGCCCGAATGCCAGGCAGTGCCCACCCACCGAGGGTCTGCTCCACCGTCAGGCCCCCTGGTCTGCTTCATGCCTGGGGACGTAGAAGGAGCAGGCACAAGCCTGCAGAGCCCATGGGGACCACCTAGACCCCACATGGGGCTCAGCTAGGCTCCTCTAGGAGGCATATGGGGTGCCTGGAGAGGGACCAGGCCACGAGCAAGGTGGGCTGCAGGCCCCAGGCTGACCTCTTCTCGCCTCCCACTCCTGGCCAGGAGCGAGAGTACATCCGCCAGGGGAGGGAGGCCACAGAAGTGGTGGACCAGATCTTGGCCCAGGAGGAGAACTGGAAGTTTGAGAAAAATAATGTAAGAAGCCCCTCTCCCCGCAACTCTCCTGTGTGTTGGCCACTTTTATTCCCTTTTCTGAGGCCTGAGAAATCAACCCAAGGAATTCCTGGGCTGGAGCCATAGTCGTGCTCCAAGGGTCAGCCACCTGGCAGGAGGCCAGGCTGGATGGGCCATTCCCACTGTGTCCCCCTGCTTCTGCTGCCCCCACCCAACCCGATCCTCACCTCCCTGCTGCTCTGCTCCCTCAGCTCCAGGCTTTGAAGGGGGACTGGCTTCTGCCCTGTGTCTGGTGTTTTGTTTCATGATCAAAACAACATTATCAAAAAAGATTGCAGAGAGCTTGGAAAACAGAGGGAACCATCCCCAGTCCCCATCTCTGGCAGGTTCCCCTGGCAGCCTCAGCGGCCTAGGGACATGGTTCTTCATGGCTGCAACCACAGCTGTGCTCCTGTCTTTTATCTCCTATTGAGAGCCTCCCTCCTCCGTGCCATACGTTCGACAGAACCACCGTTCTGTAACGGCTGCTCAGATATTCCCAAACTCCTGAAGGTTTCCACCCTGAACTGTTGGAAACCTGCCCTGCCTGTCACCCATTCCTGTGCCACCAGCCTACCCCCACGCTCTTTCCCTCCACCCTCCTCCCTACCGCCCTCTGCCCCTGCCACAGGAATACGGGGACACTGTGTACACCATTGAGGTTCCTTTCCATGGCAAGACATTCATCCTGAAGGTGAGTGAGGGAAGCAAGCAGGTGTCCTGGAGCCTCCTGCTCTGTCTGGGGCTCCCAAAGGGACCGAGGGGCCCTCTGGCAAGTCCCCCACACTAAGAGGGAAGGGCTGGTGTGCCTGAGTACATTGGTACCACCTAGCCCTCCTCCCACCCTGCCCCAGACCTTCCTGCCCTGCCCTGCCGAGCTGGTGTACCAGGAGGTGATCTTGCAGCCCGAGAGGATGGTTCTGTGGAACAAAACGGTGACCGCCTGCCAGGTGAGCCATGCCTGGGGCCCAGCCTGGTCACCTCTCACAACATGGATTGCGGAATGACCAGTTACCCCAGGAGACCTGGGTCGTGTCACTGAACCACTCTGTGCCTTAGCTTCCCTGTCTGTAAAAGGGGGAGTGATGGGATCAGCACCTCCCGTGAGGGCCAGGAGGATAGGAAGGAGGAGAGCCCAGAGCTCACCGGCCCGGGGTCACGGATGGTGACGGGCTTAGGATATCTCGGGGCCTGAGAGGAGGCTGGCCTGGGCTTCCTGTCCTTGGGGCTTTCCCAACGCAGCCTGCGCCTCACATCTCTGATGCCCTCAGATCCTGCATCGAGTAGAGGACAACACCCTCATCTCCTATGACGTTTCTGCAGGGGCCGCAGGTGGTGTGGTCTCCCCAAGGTGAGCGCCCCTGAGGCTCCTCCCCTCAGGCCTTCTGCACCTGGTTCTTGACCTTGCCCCTCCCATCTAATCCTCCCTCCCCCAGGGACTTTGTGAATGTCCGGCGCATTGAGCGGCGCAGGGACCGATACCTGTCATCAGGCATTGCCACCACACACAGCGCCAAGCCTCCGACGCACAAGTATGTCAGGTGAGCCTCGTCCTGCCAGGGCCACCTTGGCCGGCCCTTCCCCCAGGAGCTCCGGGCAGTGCAGGGCACGGCATGTACCACTGGGCAGTTTTCTCTGCTGAGGCTGCATTCCTGTTCCTGTCCCACCGGACCGGCCCCTCCCAGCCCCTAATCCTGCTAATCTTGCTGCTCTGCCTGCGGGGGCTGAGGGGAACAGCTGGAGCCAAGCCACCAAGGCCAGAGGGGAGCTGTGCAGTGGTAGCTGGCCAGGGGTAGGCCTCGGGTGGGGACCAGTGCGGGGCAGGGGCGGGAGCCCTGCAGTCACATGGGTATGGTCAACCTGAGCAGGAGGCCCTGAGTTCTGGGTTTCATCTTCCTGCCAAAGAAGCTCCCCCTACCTCCTCGCCCACCCTTCCCACCCCCTGCCCTCCCTTCTCTGGACAGCTCAGGGGTCCTCACAAAGGAAGAGGAGCCACAGTCTTCCTGCTGCCTGTTCCTGGTCTTCCTCTGAGTCCTCCCGCTGTCTAATCTTAGACTGTAGTGTTCCCACTCTTCCCCACGCTTCTCCTGGGGTTCCAGCAGGAACCCCTGCACTTTGGACAGAGACCAGGCTCTGGTCTTGACACAGTACAGACTTGCTGGGCGACGGGGCAAGCCCGTTTCCTCTCTGCGTGCCAACTTCCCTATCTGTGTAGTGGGCTTGAGCGTGCTTGATGGAGGGGATGAAATGGCAAGGGGGGTGAACTGTATAGCCCAGGCGCTGACGGAGTGGATGAGGGCTGGGGAGGTGGTGAGCTCTCTGTCACTGGGGCTGTGCAAGCACCAGCAGCCTGTTATAGGAGGATTCTAGCATCATGGAGTGAGTGGGGGAGGAAGGCTGACCCTGCAGCCTCGGGGTCGCCAGTGCTAAACCTTGTTCAGACAGGGTAATCGGTTTCTAGACCAGCGTCTGCCTTCACTCTTCTGCCCTAGTCTAAGCTGGGCCAGGGATGAGGTATATGTGGGGGAGGAGCCTTGCTTGGTTCCAAAGTCCCCCCACTGGCCCCTGTCTCCTTAGGGGAGAGAATGGTCCTGGGGGCTTCATCGTGCTCAAGTCAGCCAGTAATCCCCGAGTCTGCACCTTCATCTGGATTCTTAACACAGATCTCAAGGTGGGGAACTAAAGGCTGCTGGGCGGGCCCCATGGAGTGGAGAAGCCCCTGCTGCCCAGTCAGTTGCCATGTGACCTTGGGGGTTCCCTGCCATGCTTAGTCACTCCTGCTTTCAACTGCCCATTTCTTGAAAATCTGGAGCAGGGTTCAGAAGGTCCTTTAGCCCTGAGTTGCCACAGGGCATGTGTCTCCCTTCTTACCTCTGATTCCAGAGGCCCTGAGGAGGTGTGGCTGGCTGCCGACCCAGCCCCACCCGGGTCTGTTTGTGTGGCTGGCACCGAGACCCAGGCACAGCATGTTCTTCTTGCCAGGGGTGAGGGGGAGAAGGTGGCCCAAGCTGGATTCCAGGGCTGCACCTGCATTCTGGCCCCATAATTCCCCTGCGGTGCCCGCTGTGAGGGGCAGACCCGAGGGCAGACCGTCACATAACTTCTGCTGCCTTCCCCCAGGGCCGCCTGCCCCGGTACCTCATCCACCAGAGCCTGGCGGCCACCATGTTTGAATTTGCCTTCCACCTGCGCCAGCGCATCGGGGAGCTGGGGGCCCGGGCTTGACCATGCCCCTCACCCGCCCTGCAGGCCAGGGTCCTGTTGCTGCAGCCTCCAGAGCCAGAAGGGGCCAGCTGGGTTCCCCACTGCCCACGCAGGACCTGGCCCCAAGCTCCCCCCTCCACCGAGCCACACTGTGCCTGGAGCCATCGGAGCAGGTTGTGGGATGAGCACTTGGACTCTGGACTCTGTGGGCGGTCGGAGGTGGGCTCTGTTCCTCCGATGTTTACATGGCTCCCTGCCTCCCAGAGGAGAAGGTTGCTGTCCCATGCCTTGCCAGGGACAAGGTCTGGGGTGGGAGCCTCAACCTCAGCGGGCGAGGGCCAGGGCCCTGGGCTGGATGAGTCAGGGCAGCCTGTCACCTGTGTGAGGTGAAGGAGCCGTTGTGTGCCAGCTTACTCCTCAAGGTTTTTTAGGATTATTTAAAGGGTCTGGGACCTTTTTCCATCACATTTGTCGGGGAGTGGGTGGCAGGTGGGGGGGGGTGCTGGCAGTAAATCTCTGCCACTCCCAGATTGTCCCCCTCCTCCCAGTGCCTCCTTGGGAACCTTTGTAATTTGAGCCAATTAAAACTCTGAAAAACCCCAGCCCTTCCTGCCTCCACCTCTCCAAAAGAAGAGCGGCACCTCAGTGGGGAAGGAGTGAGCTGCCACCAGACACATCACACAACCTGTCAAGCTCATGGGAGGGCGGAGCTGTGGGAGCCAGTTCCTGGAACACTCTGTCCCTGCTTTCCTGCCCCCCCCCTTCCTGACCCCTTCAACTTAGCTGTGACTGCCCCACCCCCCGCCAGGCCTCAGGGAGAGCCAGTTGAGGTCTCCAGCCCAGGTTTGGGGCTAGGGGGTAACCTGGCAGTACCCATCATAGGCCTTGACTGCCTGGGGGGCCTGGAGGTGGGGTCTGAGCTTCAGGGTCACTGAGCTGCCTCTGGGATCCCAGCCATCGGGAACCCTGGGCTCCTCCGGCTCCACTCACTCACCACCTGTCCCCAGGGCACTCACACCAGGGACAGTGCAGAGTCTGGACCCCAGCAGGGCCCGGCCACTGCCCTCCTCCCTCCCCCACTTCCTGCCTGCCCACTTCTTTAGAGCCAGGTGGCTCCTGCCTGCGTCCTGACTGGGTGTGTGACCCTGGACCAATCTACCTCTCAGCCTGTTTGCTACTTTTTGAAAATGTCATAGGGTTGTTATGAGATGAAAAGGTATCAAGAGTCGGGCATTGGGCCTCAGTGATCACTCTTGTGCAGTTCTGTGCCCAGGTGGGGGTGCCCAGAAGCCCTACTCGCTGCTGCACCCTCTGCTGTCCCTGCAGGTCTTCAGCTCAGCTCTGTCACTGCCTCTTCTGGTGCCCTTTGCCCACTCAGCGATGCCCTCATTCCTCACACCCCATGCCTGGCACCTTGTATGTCAGCTTCTGGCACCAGGAGTTGCTACCCCAGAGTGCTGGACTGTCCCTGCGACCATCTTTCAACCCTGTCCCTGGGAATGAGAGCCACCCCCTCCCAGGTAGCACACTGGAGCTGCAGGGTCCAGAGCTCTTCTGATCATCCAGTTTCTGTGGCCACAGGGTGGGAAAAATGGGGCTCAGAGAAGGACAGGGACTGACCCACAGTCACACAGTCACAAGAGAGCTACTTGTGGCCAACTGGGAGCCGGAGCCAGATCTTTTGACTGTCACCCATTTCACCCCACCTGGGGATTGGGGGAGAGCTGGGGTCTCCCTCCACCCCAGCTGGCCTGAGTTAAGGGGCTGCTTCTCTGACACCAGCTGAGAAGAAAAACACCTGCAGAGTTCATGCCTGGGGTCCCAGGTGTGGAATGAAGTTCCACCGCCCCTGCTGGTGTGGCAAGGGTGACGGGGGACTGGGCCTTCAGTGCAAGATGGCTGAGGACATGGACAAGTTGCATTGTCTCTTCCGGTCGAGGGGCACCATCCAGGGATGTGCCCTTGAGCCCAGGTAGAGGAGAGAGCCGCGTGGGCAGGACCTGGCAGCCTGGTGCAGAGCCCAGAGGGGGCATCAGTTCCTGCTGGTCGTGCTGTGTTTATGGACAAGCCACTGTCCTTGCTGGTGAGGGGGAGCAGGTGGGGCAGAGGGCAGATGCCAAGTTGTCATGGAACTGGGTGTGTGGCTGGCTGGAGGCTGTCTAAGGAGTGCCGGGCACCTGGAAGCATTGTCCGAGGACCCCAGTCCCAGACCTCTGACCTGGGGGCAGCCAAAGTCCAGGTACTCCAGCCCCTGTCCTGGGTCTGGAGTCCCCCCATCAGTGAGTATTGGCTCTGCTTATAGCATCTGACGCCAGAGGGGCTGAAAATAGCCCCTGGAGAAAGGGGAGGAGGAGGCTATTTAAAGGGCCTGGGGGGAGAGAGCCGAGGGAGTGAGGAGCGATCATGGCCACTTCAGAGCTGAGCTGCCAGGTGTCGGAGGAGAACTGCGATCGCCGAGAGGCCTTCTGGAGTGAATGGAAGGATCTGACGCTGTCCACACGACCTGAGGAAGGGTAAGTAGGGGTCACCTAGAGTCCCACCTCTGCTCCCCCAAAGCAGCCCCGAACTGTAGGCGACCAGAGCACGCAGCCCTGAGAAGTTTCCAGGGGTGGAGAGGGCGAGGTGGAATCACCCCTCTGAGCCCCAGGTTCTGGCAGTCCCAGGGAGCCCCCCACGCAGCCGAGACTGGAGCACCAGCTCCCAAGAGCTCATTGCCCCTCCCCCCCCAGGTGCTATCTGCACGAGGAGGACGCCCTGCGGCATGAGACCTACCACCGGCAGGGGCAGTGTCAGGCGCTGGTGCAGTGCTCCCCTTGGCTGGTGATGCGTATGGGCATCCTCGGCCACGGGCTGCAGGAGTACCAGCTGCCCTACCAACGCGTGCTGCCGCTGCCCATCTTCACCCCCACCAAGGTGGGTGCCGCCAAGGAAGAGCCCGAGGACGCCTCCATCCAGGAGCTGCTGGCGCTGGAGACAGCCCTGGGTGGCCAGTGCGTGGATCGCCAGGAGGTGGCCGAGATCACCAAGCAGCTGCCCCCTGTGGTGCCCGTCAGCAAGCCGGGGGCCCTTCCTCGCTCCCTGTCCCGCTCCATGTCCCAGGAAGCCCAGAGAGGTTGAGAGGGACTGTGGTTCGGGCTCCACGATGCCCGCCCTGGGCTGGGCCCTTCCTGGCTAGGACTGTGGAGGGGAGCAGCTGGCTAAGGGTGCTTTGTAGTTTGCCCAGAGCTGGGGGCTAGGGGAGGAGGGGGCCAGAGGCCAGGATGCCTGAGCCCCTGATTTCCCACAGGAGGGGGCAAAGACGGTGGACACTAAGGATGGAGAGCTGGGGGCCACACAGGACCCCCAGTCCCAGGAGAAGGGATGAAACGGGCTGGGGAGGGCAGGGGCTGCCTGGGAGGATGCCCCTGCGCTGGGCTTCAGCGTCAGAGGAGGACTAGGAAAAGTGAGGAGGGGGCCTGGAATGCTCCACACAGGAGGCTTGAGAAGACAGAAGGGAGGGGGACGTGAAGAGGGTGAAGGCATGGTGAGACCCCCAGCACCCTCTGTTAGCGCCGCAATAAATGCTCAATCATGTTCCAGAGTTGTGTCTCTTTCCCTGTGGCTGTGGAGGCTGGCTTGTCCATGCCCCCCCACCCCCACCCGCCGTACCCACTTTTGGGAACAGGCCCTCATCTGAGCTAAATATGGCAGAGTTAGTGGGAACACCCCATGCTTGTGGGAGCAGAGACAGAGCTGTAAACAGGGCGCCTGGCTGTCCAGTCCCCTCTCTGTACCCTGACTCTGCTGTCCAGTCCTGGCTTCCGTGTCCAGTCCCCTGGCACTGGGCAGTGCCCAGGAGGCCAGCTGGCATCCAGGGTTTGTTACAATGATACGGAGAATATGGAGAGGGCTGGCACCAGTGCTGTCCTTGGCTGTGACTCAGAGTGTGGATGGGGTCAGTGACCCCAAAGCTAATCTGCTTCTCAGTTCTGAATCCAGACAGAATCAGTCCTTGGCTGGGGGTCAGGCATTCCACTCTCCCTACCCCGGGAGCCCAGGGTGGGTTGGGGGAGGTAGTAGGGCGTCAGGTTCCTGTCTGTGACCCCTGCAGCTGTTGTGGTGACTCATGTCCCAACCTGGCGGCCTTTCCCAACAAGGAGACTTTCCCTTTGAGCCAAGGGGAAGGAGCGCACAAGGGAGGTCTGTCTGGACGAGGGGGCCAGGGATTGATCTTGGCAGGAGCTGACAGCCTACCCAGGAAAGAGGGGCAGCGGGTCCCACTTTAGGAAGACCATGGAGATGCCCGGGGCAGAATCGACTTCCCATTTCGGGGGGATAGGAGGGGAGGCCCTGGCACCTTGACAGCCGGGGACCCGGAGCGCCAAGGCCTACAGGTCTGCCTGGCTCGCCCCCTCGGAGGGGGCTGCAGTGTGGTCTGGGAGAGAAGAGGGGTCAGAGGCCCCAGACCTGCAGGACCCCAATCTGTGGACACCTGAAGGCCTGGACCGCGCCCCCTGGTGGCCCCGGAGAATGCGCCCCAGGTCCTCCGCCCTCACCTGGGTCGAGCGCTCCCCGACGTGGCGGGAACACCGCGAACCTTCCGCCCTCGGCTGTCCCCAGATAAGAGGCTGGGAGCCCGCAGGGCCAGAGAGGCGGCCCGGCTGTTCCGCCGGCTAAGTGCATTAGGCCCGCTCGCCTCCCCTATCACCGCTGCCATCGGACGGGCGCGCCCCATCCGGCCCTGGGCCCCCCGGAGCGACCGCGGCGAAGGCCAGAACGGACTGTCCTTTCTGGAGTTGGGGGGGGAGGCTGCTGGAGGACAGGACCCCAGAGAGGCCCGGAGGGCGGGCGGAGAAGGGGAGTGGGGTGACATGACCAAGGAAAGGGCGGATGTTGGAAAAGGCGTCGCGGGGGAAGTGGAGCCTGGCGGGGTCTGGGGCCTTGAGGGGAGGGCGCTGGGGGGGGACTGGGAGAAGGGGGCAGTTCGAGTCATGTGAAAGGGAAGGGGCGGGCTGCCCGCAAAAGGGGCGCCTGGCGGCGGGGA